GGGCTCCTTAGAGTAGGGGAAGGGGCTGTACTTTGGGCAGAGGACCGAGATGGACACTCCCTCCCGGTTTGCTGGGCAGTGAGGGGCTCCCTGGAACTTGGGCTCTCAGTGTTAAAACTCGGGGAGCCCTGGCAGACCGGATGGCCAGCTGTCGTCCTGGTGGGGTGTTGGTGCGTTAGTGTTTGTGCCCGTGTGACTGCTGTGGGACCCCGCAGCCTCGGCACCGGGATTGCCGGCCCCGGCCCCCGCCCCACACCGCTCGCTCGGCATGGACGGGGCAGAATTTCTGCCTGGTCCTCCCTCCCACCCTTCCCAACGCGCCTCCTCCCCCAGCTCCGGCATCACCCTCTCAGGGCGACCGGCAAGTCACAGTTGATTCGAGCCAGGCCGATGGCCTAGGCCAGGGAGCAAGATCTGAAATGCTCCCCGTTTTCTGCGTTTCGTGTGCTTTAAAAAGGGAGTCCCTAAGTACCGTGCCCTCAAACGGACTTAGCTACAGCTGCGGGGCTCCAGGAAATGGAGCCTTAAACCCGTCGATGAGGAATCACCGGCCAGCACCGGACAGGGACCTGCCTGAGACCCGCCACCCTAAGGGAAGTGGACGGGCCACGGCCAGGCCACTGTACTGCCTGGTCTCACCTCTCATCCTGTCCAGCGCCCAGGGCTGCTGTCTGTCTGTCAGGTGGTCGCTGCCCGATTCGAGTCGTTGAATAAAGCCAGTGAGATCTCTGAAATTTCCTCAGTTGAATTTTGCTTTTTAACATCTTTGCTTCGTTTTATTTTTCAAAAACTTGGTTGTCTTTAACAAGGTATTTGTGGTCTATGACAGATTGGAGGGGAAAAAGCAAAAACCCCCAAACCTTGTAACCCCCAAACCTTGTCCTCCACACACGCGTTGCTTTCGTGAAATGCCCACGCTGTCCACGAGGTGTCACCTTCCTGCCAGAGTGGATCTTGGAAAGGACGAGTCATCCTGGACCTGAGCAGCCCCCAAATTGGCCGCCTACCACTGCGCTGCTCCAATTAGAGATTTAGAACAAGCCCGGCCGGCGCGGCTCAGCAGGTGAGCATTGACCCATGAACCAGGAGGTCAGGGTTCGAGTCCCGGTCAGGGCGCATGCCCGGGTTGTGAGNGTGAGCATTGACCCATGAACCAGGAGGTCAGGGTTCGAGTCCCGGTCAGGCCACATGCCCGGGTTGTGAGCTTGATCCCCAGTCGGGGGCGTGCAGGAGGCAGCCGATCAATGACTGTCATCACTGATGTTTCTCTCTCTCTCCCTCTCCCTTCCTCTCTCTGAAATTTAAAAAAAAAAGGTTTAGAACAGAGCTTCAGTCCTTAAATGCCAATCGATTGCTATTTGGTATAATTATTCTCACGGAGCAAACGGAAGGTGTAATCCCGCTGCCCAATGAGTGGCGTGTCTGAGAGCGTTGTCTGGGTGCCCGGGTGCTGTACGCGGCCTGCTGGGCATCCTAGGGTGCCTGCGAGGCAGGGGGCGGGTAGGACCGTTGTGGGCCTTCCAGAGCACAGGGTTAGTCTAGCTTGTGGCAGAGGTTTTCAAGCTGGCCGTCCTCAGAATCCCCCAGAGGGCTGGTTAAAATAGGGCCGCTGACGGGGCAGGGAATCTGATGTGCCTGGGACCCTGACCTCCAGGTTCATGGGCTGACTCGCAACCACTGAGCCACACTGGCCGGCAGCAAGGACCATTGTTACCCCAGTTTGCAAATGGGGCCACTGAGGCACTGATCGTGCGAGGAACAGGCCCAAGGGCGCGCCTTTGGCGAGTGGCGAGCGGAGGGGTCTAACCCGGGCCGGGGAGCGCGAGGCCGCACGTGGCCCTGGCACAGGTACTGGGTGTTGGCGACTCGCAGGAGCAGCTGCCATGTGCAGCCGCTTTCGGGGCCGCGCAGGATACGGGCTCGCCTTTGTGTTTTCGTAAAGCTGACGAGCCTGACAGGAAAGTCAGACCTTTATTTTATGTAATGGGCTTGAGAGAGAGAGGGCGGGGGAGAGCGAGACGTGGCTTTGATTTGCTGCTCCGCTTATCTCTGCATTCGTCGGCCAATTTCTGTATGTGCCCTGACCGGGGATCGAACCCGCAGTCTTGGGGGTATCTGGACCCGCAGTCTTGGGGGTATCTGTTCTAACCAGCTGAGCTACCTGGTCTGGGCTACAGAAGTTAAACATTTAGGCCTAAAAGATGAAATAAAGAAATCAACCTAAGTGCTGTTGGGGTGCAAAAGAGAGTCATCCGGGTTGGTGAAGGGGGTTCGAGGAGCGTTCCCGGGGCGTGGCCTTGCAGCGGAGCCTCCGTGGGCTTTGGCAGGTGAATGGGAGGGCCCCTCGGGTGGAGTGGTCACAAGGAGGGGGCGCAGACTGACGGGGGCTTCGGTGGAGTGTGGCTTTTAGGGA